CCTTTTATATTTTATGTTTTATTTTTCCCAATATGTGAAACTTGTCAACAGAAATGAATAGAAACTGAAGAAAAATATGCAGGAAAACATCATATTTAAGTTTGTTCAATGTAAAGAATGTTACCTTACTTTCATTTACAGAAATCAACAAAAATGATTTGAAAGCCTAACTCACCAATTCTATACACATGACCACAATTGACTAGAGTTTCTCTCTGTTGAAGGAAGACAGGAACTAAGCCATTCCATCCAATTCATGAGAACAGCAGGGCCATCAGGCTCTTTTGGACTCCAAGCCATTGATGGTTGCATCATCGCTGGGAATCGAACTTGGGTCCACTAAATAGGACACAACCCTCTTAGCCCACTGTGCTGCTCACAGAGGCTGTCTGGCCTGTATGGTGTTGCGCCTGTGGTTAGAATACAGAAGCAGAGCCACACAGCAGGGTAAGAGATTAAACACAGATCACAAAGACAAACAAAGAGGAAGTCAAGGTGTTCTTCAAAGCTGCCGGCGTTCCACAGGGCTAGTTCTCTTGGCTCCAGGTCCTAATCGGACCGTCTGAACAGAAAAACACTGGCCTAGACCTACATTGACAGGCACAATACTAATAACCCTAACCTAACTAACCCTAGACTTATACTGACATACTCTTATGGGTTTTCATGTGCATGAAAAGGTAGCAACACACAAAAGGAACCATGTGGTGAAATGAATTGCAATCATTTCCTGAAATCAGATTATCTACTCCACAGCGTCAACGCTCTGAAAGAAGAAAATGAGGCTATATATTAGCGTGTGCTAGCCGAGCTGCAGTGTGTGCGAAACGTCTAAAATAATCCTCTGCCAGCGAGGACTCATCTCCTCCTGTGAAAAATAGATAAGAGTGCAGTCGTATCCTCCTGGATGGCATCAAACGCCAAATCTGACCATCGATATTGTGTCAGAAGACTGACAGCAGTGACATCTAATCACCGTCCTGCTGGCGTGTCATAACTCCTGCCTAATGTGCCACAGCTAGAGCAGTCTATTGACTGAGGCATACACCGTTTTAAAGCTTCAAACGGTGAGATCCAAGTATAGTCTTAAAAATAAATGTTCCTAAATGGTTCCTGGCTTGGATGTATTCTTCTAGGAAAACACATTAGATTCTTTACATTATGTGCAACGGTGGCATGCACAGGATGAGGGGCTTCAAAAGAAGACTTCTGGAAAAGCTAATATCAGGATTTTTTCAGTATATGAAAATGTAATATCACTTTTATTATTACTGTTGTTGTCAAAAAAATAGGAAACTATACACCATCTTTTCAAACTGTTTTATATCCATCTTATTAAAGGTGCTGGAAACTGGATGGTACATCTCAATTACTCTAAACCAAAGTCAGATTTATATTCCAATGGAGCAAAAAATGGAGCTATAAAACTCCACTTGTGCGATCTGTCAATGTAAACATGTCCACAACAGCAAGCTTTTTTCATCTTAGCATTTCTTTTTTAAGCTTTTATTTTCTGCCAGGGGTCGGAATTTGAACCGACATGAGATATCAGATTACAGAGGTAATTCGTTCAACCAGGGTGGACTACATTAACCACGGTAGTAAGTGTGTTTGTGACTAAAGCAAGTCGAAATTTGTCCAATCATCCAAACACCATCAGTATTGGCCATAGTATAGCACCCCGTCCCTCATCCCCTCCAGTGATAGAGATACTTTAAACTTAAAGAACCGTCCATGAAAAGGTTCTTTCGGGAACCAAAGTGGTGCTTATATGGCATCTTCACAAACTACTCTTTTTTGCAGTGTAGGAGTGGTCAATATAGCACAAACATGTCACAGTACTTGTATCCACAATACCATATGTATTGCAATACTTGGTTTTTCTGAGCTTTGAGAAGCTGTAACAAACACCATGCACCAATGTAGGTGCACTCCTACTGCCCAATGCATAGTTGTGGAAGTGCAATGTTGACAGCACCCACAATATGTTCAGAAAAACCGACCATGGTGTAATTTATCATTCTAACAATATAACATCACCATATTGCTCACCTCTAGATCCAAGCTTTTGTTAAAGAGTTATAAGCCTCCTGGTGCCGAAATGGTTCCTCAGTAATGACTATTTCTAATAGGTGGGACTTCAGCGCATAACTGCACAAACGTGTGTAGGATTTCTAAGAAACATCGTTGGCGAGAGCAAAAATAGCCTTAGCTTCCAAATGGATCTGATAGAGTCCAGACATTATGTCAGTCTTTAGCACCTTAGTGTATATGGAGTCCAGCTGTGTGACCAGCAGTGTTGCATATGTTACCTTGACCTTATGTGAGTTGTCTGTGTCTTTTCTGTTCTCATAATGGTGAAAGCAGAACTGTTCATTTCATGAGTAATGAACAAAAGTACCCTGAAAAGCTTCAGTAATGAATCCTCCCCATGAGAGCTTGTAAGGAGAGAAAAGTAATGATGTAATGATGCTTTTATGTAAGGTAATGATGCTTTTATATCGCTGCAGCTGAGCTATCCGGTCATACTGTTCCAACACAACTATATCACTGGTATTCTTGGTTCGGATGAAGTGCACAGCATAAACCGAGGTGCCAGTTTATTATGTATTTATCTGTAAACTAATATCTATAAACACTGGTCATTTTATCAGGAACACCTAATGTATATGTGCACTTTATAGGTTTATATTTACAGACTCTAGCAGATAGTATTGCAGCACAATGTATCAATCCCCTCAAACCTGTTTATCAATTTAAAGGGACCACCATAGGACAACCACTTACCAGATATTAGTGGAGAATTATTCTCAGAATGTCCCTTTGTGTTTAACAAGAACCATATCAAATAGTGAATTTAAAATATTTTTGTTTTGCAAAGTTGCAAAAACTTGACTGAATAATATAGATAGATCTATATCATGCACAGTCATGGAGTTAAAAGCTATAAAACTCCACTAGTGTGAAGTGTCAGACTGGACGGTGACTGTAACCATGGCAATGTAAACATGTCCATGACAGCAAGCTTTTTTTATTTTATCGTTTCTTTTTTAAGCTTTTATTTTCTGGCAGGGGTCGGGCTTTGAACCAACATTAGATATCAGATTACAGAGCTAGTCAGAGTTTAACATGTTGGAAAAAATACAACATATAAAATTGTTATCTAACTTTTCCACAGGCCATAGTTTATGTTTTATTCATTTTTCCAGTATATAAAATTCTGCAAATAATTAACAGTTGTACATGAACTTGTATATTGTGAGAGAAAACAGAAGCATGGCAAGAGGGCTGTTGTCCATGATAGGCTAAATCTAACCACAAGAATCTGGCCGTTTTTACATCGTTCTTCATATTTCTTCTTACTTGTCCACTTCAGACTGCAACTGAGTATACAGCAGGAGGTGAGAGACAGCTGCATTTCATTTTCACTGAATGTTATTCCAAACTGCTGACTGTCTTCTTATATACTTGGGCAGAACACTTGAACATTCATACCAGTGTTTACTGAACACTACCTCTAAAATTGTCGCACATTTTTATACACACTTTCTATGCATCAGTACACTTCTCTGTCTCTAGTTTATTCTCAATCTATGCATATTTTCTATTTTTTGTTTCTTGTATTTATTTTGTGTTTACATACTGTCGGTCAGCCAACTAGTACATGTGCGATCACGTCTTCTTGCCTTAATGTTTATGCACCAGAATAGTAGCCCGAACATATTTTGTTATACTGTACACCTGTATGTGTATAATGGCAAAGTTGAACTGAACTGAATTGAAATGTGGCTGAAACGTCCACCACTCTACTAAACGGCTACCCATAGTGTTTTTTGCTTCTTCTGTGCTTATTTGTGGCATACAGTATAAGAGACATGACAAAACTAATACCTTAAGAAGAATTTCAGGGTCACTGCTGGGCTGCGAATGGTCTGCTAACCAAAAATATCCAGCCAACAGTGGCCCTGTGGTCAGAAACTGCCCACTAGAGGATGCAGGGCTAGATGATAACTAACACTAACTGTGCGTGGCAAAAGACCAGCTACAGTAAGTTGCACCAACAAGGTAGTGTTTGTAATAAAGTGGCTAGTAAGTGTACACCATGCTTAAATACTCCAGCAACATATGCTGGTGGTCCTGTGGTGGTCCTTTTCCATGAACGGATGGTGTAGAGGTTGGCTGATAAATTGTGTATCAGATGGGCTACAGTCAGTAATTGTAAAACTACAAAGCACACCTATATGGAAGGTGTTTCTGATAAAATGGCCAATAAATGTAGGTATATGCTAAGTGTTTCTGATAAAATGGCCAGTGAATGTCAGTATATGATTGGTGTTTCTGGCAACTGTTTGTTTTACCAGACAAAAAAAATCTATGAGCATAAAAACATCATACACTGCAGAATGACACTGTCAGTTCTTCCTTCATTTGAATTTATTCTAGTCTTAGTTTAATATACACGCATCAGCTGAACTGCCAGTGATGTGTGCGGTTTTGATGCGTTTATGGTGTGAAAAGAGAAGGCGTCTTTTGCCTTCTCTCTGTTTCATTTCAAACTGTGATGTACCAGCCTGGTCTCATGAGGATGTAATTCCACCAGGATCGGACCTCATGCTGTTATGTTTCTCGCCAAGGAATTCTGCTTCTTCTTCTTTTTTCCCCTCTCCTCAGTCCTCTGTTTCACATGTATGATGCTGAATGCCACATCCAGCCCTACAATCCCCTTTCCAGTATAGTCACCTTGACTCTGAATGGCAATGACAGATTGATGCTGAACAGAAAAGCATTTCCTTCTCCATTCGGAAGAAATACTGCTGAAAAATTTGTATGTCCTTTCGTGAGCTGCTTGCTGTCCATGTCATGTTTGTCAAGTAAAGAATGTGAATGCTGAAAGTGGTGTTTCTATAGCTGCGAGAAAAGTGTGACTGTTTTGTGTTTGTCTGAATGGGAAGGAGTGTATTAACGTGTGTGCCATGTTTTCTTTTCTTCTGCTTCCTCAGGAGCTACCCAGACCATAACAGGTAGAGATACTTTCCTCTCTGTCTTTCTAAACAATCTCATTTCTTATCTGTCTACTTTTTTTTCTTTTAACATTTTATATCATCTGCATGGTTGGCTGTTCTAAATGCATGCTGTCCAACTGAAACATTCTTAAAGGGGAAATTCCACTCGCATAATTAAATTGTTAAGATGTAAACAAAGTCATTCAGGGTGGTTTGATGTGAAATGCAATGTTCTAAAGAAACTTACCTAGTGGCGATAAGAACCGGACGTCTGGAGTGTTTAACACCTTTAACGCCTCCCTCACAAGGTACTGTATGAAATGATGATAAATATGCTGCCTGATACCTGATCTACACTCAATAATACAGTAAAAAAGATGGTTCTTCAAGGGTTCTTTAGTAAAGATAATGGTTCTATATAGAACCATGAAGACTCAGAGAACCACTTGCATGCTTAAATTGTTCTCTGCATGGTGAAATGGTTCTTCAGATTGACGGCGTATGTGTTGTATATGGTTCTATATAGCATCAAAAGGGTTTTTCTGTTATGATGATAAGCTTGTAGCAATAGGACCCTTTTTGGTGTTATACAGAACCTTTCAAAATTCTATATAGCTCCATATACAGCACATTCTCCATTAATCTGAAGAACCATTTCACCATGCAGAGAACCATTTAAGCATGCAAATGGTTCTGTGAGTGTCCATGGTTCCATATAGAACCACTGTCTTTACTTAAAAAAAAAAAAAACCTTGAAGAACCACCTTGGGGTTTTGGCATACATTTTTTTGTAAAACACATTATATTATCAATATCATATATAAAAACTCACATGTAGGTTCACTGGACATTTTGCATAGTTTAAAAAATGGCTGTATTTGTGTTGTAGACATTGTGACCCCTGGTCTTTATCACAACCACTGTAAAGAAATCTTAGTCAATAAGTTTCTCTACAATGACTCATTTCATCAAACCCCTCTGAATGACTTTGTTTACATATCAAATATTGAATTATGCAGAAAATTTGGAAAATTGGTGGAATTCCTCTTTAAACAACACCCAGTTTCATTTCCTGCACCAGTGGTGGACCAATCAGGGACTGATACAAAGCAGTAACCAGTACCATTTTTAAGGAGCTAAAAATTCTGATAACCGCTATTGGGATTCTGATAACCAATAATATCACCCAACATTATTTAATATACTCAAAAATTAAACAGACACCAATAGTTAAACAACTCTAAGTAGGAGAGGGCTTGTTGTATTGAAGGGCTGTTCCATTACTTTATTAGCTCAAGTGAAGGGTGTTAGATGAGCCATTAGAGGGGTGAGGGATCGAGTGAATAAAGGTGTTGACTTTAGCAGCAGATACGGAAGCATATCAGTATCAAAATTAAAATGAAAATGTAATATGCAAAATAGCAATGTAATCCTAATTTGGAATGTAAATTTTCCACTCATACATGCAAGTTTGGGCTCAAAATGAAAATTCAAATTCATTAATTCCATTCACATTTGCCATTTGGTGCAGTAGTACTGACATTTCATTTACACAGAGATTTAGATGCTTTATAAGTAGCTTTATTTAAAGTTAAATCTATTTTCAGAACTGCATATTCATGTCTTATGTGATTATGCCACAATTTGTCAATTAAAATGTAATTTAACTAAATATGCATTTTCACTCTCTAATAATGTTTCTGAAATTGCATTATCAAAGAGAACTCCAAGCTAGAAAGATGTCAAAATTCAGTTGTAAATGGGAAACAGCGCCTCTCCTCCCCACAATTACAGATTCTCACCTACTGCACTCATTCTGTTTCAAAATGCCTTTAAAAATACATTCGACCTGATTGCACTTTCATTTTTAGTGTCTTCTCAACCTGTCAATCAACCAGGTTGGGGCCAAGAGCACGCTCAGCGGAATATAGCCACTTGTGATGCTTAATGTCTTTATACATGATCCGATGAGACAGTGTTTAATCGAACATGTGGCCAGGCTGAACTTGGCTTCCTTCTCGAATTTTACTTCCACTTTAAACGGTGCAGCAGTTACACTCTGGTGCCTCAATGTGCCCGAATGTAACAGCAACACCATTTAAGGTGGACTGGAATATTCAAAAAACAAGCTACCTTCAGCCTTGTTTCATTGACTGAGAATGCTGGCTGAAATGAGTCTGGACCTACAGATTCAGATCCAGTTGATACCATGCAGGGACATCTTCTACAAAATGAGCATCAGAAGTGGATCAGGTCATCAGGTACATGAATTGATCTGTCATCAGGTACATGAATTGTGGAGGGCTGCGGAATTAAGCTAGCTAAAAGCCATTGTTAATGCTAGCTGATGCTACACTCCCGAACAAAGCCCCCATCTGCTGATTTTACCAGCTGGCTAAATGACCCAGCTCACAGTGTCACACACCTATACCAGCAATATTTGTAATATTAATTAAAAAAAAAAACGATCAGAGACCCCCTAGCTGAACTAGGCTTTTATGAGTACATTTTTGGTAACAGATGTGGAACAGCAATATATCCACATGTGTGTACACTAGAAGATAGACTTGTAGCCTATGGCTGGGTAACACGCACAATAATTTCAACCCGTGGCCAATGCAACATGTTCAATTAAAGATTCTTGATGAATCATGTATAAAAACATATCAACCACCATAAGTGGACATATTGCTGTTTCACTCCATCTTCTAATGTAAGATTGGCCACCATGGTCCAGATAAAACCTTTTCCGCTGCGTGAGCTGTGGGCTGTTGGTGATGGGATGATTGACAGGCTGGCAAGACTGTGAAAATGAAATGCAGTCTAGTTGAAAGCATTTTCAAATGCATTTTGATACAGAATGAGCACAGTAGGCGAGAATATGTAATTGCCCGTTTACATTTGATTTTTGCCCTCTTTCTAGCTTCACTTTGATAATGCAGTTTCAAAAATATTATTAGAAAGTGCAAATGCATACAAGTTTAATCACATTACATGGCGGACAAAGTGCTTTATAAGCTACAGCAACAAACTACTTTAAAATGCTTAACATTTGTTTGTTTGTTTCAGACTGGGCTTTAGGTTTACAAACTACTCCATCTGTTATACGGGACTGCCAACACAACTTCATCACTTCACTGCGCTAGCCTAGTTAGCATGCTAAAGGCTACACGGCTAACAAAAAAAAAATGGCACTACATGACGGTTCTACACCACATTTACAGAGTCTACAGACAAAGCGATTTTTTTCAAGAATCATTCAAGAAGAAAAGTTTGAATTTGGAATTCCAAACTGGGACCTTTTTTCCCCAATGAGATTTGCTGCAAACGCATCATTATCTCTAGTTTATTTAAGGTGACAAAGAAGGAATCTTTCATGCATTTAAAACACAAAAACTAAAGTTTTTCTCTGTTTAATACAATGTAGTGTTAGTTTTTTTTGCAGTGGACATTATAGCCTTAATTTAGCTTTTATTTTTGAAAAACATTTTCATTTGTATTAAAGTTAACAAGTATATTTCACTGCTAGTTTTCAGAATAGTTTTCTTTAGTGACTGGTATAATTGCTAGTTATCAAATGTCAAATTTGTTAAACTCAAACAGCAGAAAACATGCAAATTACAGAGGGTAGGGCTTATTAGCGGTTTTGTTGGTTTGTTGTGCTAATTGGCTATTTTTCTTATTGCTCATGAGTTATCTTCATAGAAACTTTTTTTGTGTTGTAGCATGTTATCCTCATGCTAAAGGTTTGATTTGGATGCACGTTCCATATTTTTATTGGTTAGGCCTGTATGACTATAAGTGAGTAGGTGCTGGTTGTCTTCTTAGCAGTTACTGATATACAAGCATTAAACCATAAAATCCACAGAAATTACCATTTCGCAATATCGGATAATGTTACAGGTCAACTGATATCATTCGGGCCCTAATGGCAAAGCGAAGTGCTGAAGAGCACTTAGGTAAAGATAACATTTAGTATGCATTGTGTTCTCAAGAGAGCTCATGAGTATTAAGCAAGATAAGTGCTTTCAGAGGCCATTTGGGACAGTAACCCAGCATCTCTGGCTGAACTGAGGTTGTTGTTACCAGATTTTGATAGAGCAGAACAGTCAAGCATGACTAAAAAAACTCCATAAGGTTGCAACCGCTAACCCAATAACCCTGCAGGAAAATGCATTTCCAGTAAAGCAATGCATGAGAAGAAAAGAAAATGTTCTATTCACACAAACAAGACTTTCTTAACAATACAGATATGTAAAATCTATTTAGAACGGTTCCTTCACAATAACCATAGCTGTGATGCAAAAGATTCCATCCACTCCCACACACAATTGCTGCTTCTCCGGCTCTGCTTTCTGCAACGCTTTACCAAGTTCAGTTACACCTCCTGCACAAGGACAAACATATTCCAACTTCGCACAGCGCACATGAATAGGTCCATTTCAACAGCTGAAATCTGCAGTGATGAATAGAACAGAATGGGAGTAATTTCCATTCCTGATCACTCTAAACTTGCCCTGGTTGTGGCTAGAAACATTCAGGGTCCTTATGAAACACAAGGCAGGCTTGAATGGAGTGCTTTCCAAAAATACACTGCACTTTCAGCTCCTTGGTTTTGAACATGAAGGACAAGCTTACCCTCTTCTTAATACTTTGTATGGGAAGCAAATATCCCACCCGAAAAGCAGCTTTTCAAAAGCTAGTGAGTTTGTAATAACATATTAAACAGAAAGCTGTTTCAGATCTTGCAAAAACTGCACAACTGAAGGAACAACTGACAAAAAGACAACCTTGGGAAAAATGCCAAAGCCCACACTTTCTGTCCTCTCAATGTGAAGTCATCAGCATTCAGCTTAGTACTGCTAAGATGGAAGTTCAGTGTTATAAAGCAACTTTTTTGCTAGATTTTCTCATTATGTTGATTTAGAGGTGTATTTTATATCACGATATTGTGATCAGTTTTGCTGTCGTGATAAACAGTATGCTTTTCTGAGCTTATTGTGGATACTCCATACTCA